ATATATATATATGTAAAAGGATGCCACCAAAGATCAATTTCTAATCAAAGACACTCGTCCAAGTTCATTTGTCTCAGTTACCTCTGCTGAGGTCTTCTCACTGTTAGCTCTTCTTCGGCAGTTTTCGCAGCTCAAATATCAGATGGATGTGAGGACTGAAGGTGTAACACCAGCGGCAGCTCGATCCCCAGGCACTGCAGAGCTGCCGTTACCACAGTGCGTATAAATACAACAGATTGCTCAGTGTGGAAACAGATGCAACCAGTTGCAAACATCCCATTGGCTCCTCGCTCAACTTCTGTTTGACCGCCCTCCACTTGTTTTTATCCCCAGTCAGACCTAATCTGTTGCTCAATGCTGCAGCTCTATTTTTATTTGTGGCTATAAAAACAAGTGAGTAAATATTGCAAGAGGCTGCAAAGTCTGCTCATCTCATGGCACAAAGATGATGTCATCCAGAGACTGTCTGACTCATGACCGGGTCACTTTCTGAGCTAAAGGAAGTTCATTGTCATATTGTTGCATTAAGATGTTCGGGACAAATTTTAACAAGTCATGTCTCCTTAAGATACAGTGAGGTAAGAGAAAATTTAGAGAGTTAGGACATGAAAACCAAATGAAAAAGAATTCTGAATTCATCTAGCTGAAAATGTGACCTCACATGAACGACGGTAACCTCTCAGCAGAGCATCTTACCACTCCTACTGTACACCCATGATGTGATAACCTTTAGTGAACTGGAATGAATGGGATGAACTGACATTAACGTTGTGAAACGGATAATTTAGGTCAGTGCTGATCATTCTGAAGTGTGTGTGGCGCCACCTGTTGGAGGGAGACTAAAGACCATTTTCACAGAAATTACAGTAAATTGGGAGAAAAATTCCATAAATTAAATTAAATATGGATTTTTTTTATTATTCATTTTTTGTGGGTTGGTATGTTGTGTTTTTTATTATAAAGCTTAAATAAAAGTTAATATATTTAAGAAGTGATAAGGAGAGAGAAAGAAGGAACACTTATTCCTCCTTGTTTTATTTAGCTCTCATAAAGTCAGGGAACCAGATCAGCTTATTGACCAATAACAGTTTGATTCATTAATTCACCCTTTTATAATCAGAACTTTAAACCATAACAAATGGATATTTATCAAATCAGGTGGAGGCCGAATTGGCCCTTTTTGTACTTGGACTCAAAAATAAAATAATCAACAATAAAAATCGACAATACAAATGACAGTAAGAATTTGGAAAACTAGTTTGAATATGTAGTTTGTTAGATTTGATGGTTCGACATCTTGAGTTAAAGCAATAATTACTCAAAGATTAACACTCTTTTATTAAAACTAACAGAAATCTGTGGACAGAAAACATTTTGTTTCGTTCCGTGCAGTAATTACATGAAGTTAACCATTTTAGGTCAATAGTTTACTTTTGGAGTTTTGGTTGGAAGCTGTTATGTAATTCAGTCGGTTATCAAGTTGGTAATATAACTCTGAAAGTAATGAAACAATGCTTACCAAAATTTCAACCAGACCTGATTTTGCTTGTTAGGCGACAACACCCAGGTGCAGCGGTGGACCTCGGATGGTACAGCTGGATTGGATGTGGCTTCCCTGAGAGCTTGGCGTGCAGGTAGGGTGGACCTGTTCAACCAAGGGTCAGCTTTATGGGTGGCAGAGATGATCCAAGCCTGAGATCTTCAGCTCATGAAGATGACGACGACGTAATTAACTGCATCTCTTGGCTAAGAAAAGAAATTCAGGTTGTTGTCTTTTCGTTTGCCCAGGTGAGAGAGGTGAAAGGACAGTAAGACAAAACCCATCAGGACAGGGAGGAGACAAGCAACTGCGGGTGTCTCACAAACACTCTGCTTTTTGTGACTTATCAGCTCCAAGGACTGTTTTTGAAACACAGCCTGTTTTGGCTGCAAAGCTCTCTGCCAAGAGATTCCTCACACACACACACACAAACAAGCTTGCATTTCTATCTTTATTAGGACCATTCATTGACTTCTAACCCTGACCACTTACCCTAAAACTAACCTAAACTCAATTCACACCTTAGTCCTAAACTGAACCCCCAACCCAAAAATGAAGTTCTACCATATTAAGACCAGTCTTTGGTCACCATTAGGACTACTGGTCTTGACAAGGTAGGTGTGTATACCAGAAACGGTCCTAAAAAGGTAACAAAAACAAGTACACACACACAATTATTCTTCTATCCACATGTGGACTTTCCATTGCCTTCCATTCATTTACCAGTCATTTCTAGCTTCAGCACTTCATTGATTTCATATTTGTTAAACAATAAATCAACCTTATTCATGTTTCAAACATGTCAATCAAATAAACATTTAGAATTTTTTTACAAAGCTTAAAATAAATGTTTGAGCATTTTATCTCTAGCATTTATCTATCTTAACTGTAGCTGATTGCGTGTCCAAGGACAGCGAATGTGAAGAAACAACCTGACCTTTTAGCATTACGCTGACATTTGTACCATAAATTCACTTCCCAGGTGATATTTTGTAGGTGGATCTGTGAAGAATAACATAAGAACACATGCCATGAATTCAGTTTTTATTGAAGCTCGGATTTCCAGATGTCAAACCCACATTTGAACAAAACGTATTTGCTACCTCTCAAAAAGCAGCACCAGTTCACAGTGAGAAGTGTGTGGGAACATGTCCACAGGCACAGCCAGAGTGGGAGAAAAAGCCTCTCCTGTGAGTTTTCTCTGTGGGTCAGGAGCACAACAGAGCTCCTTGAAGTTCCTCATGGCCTCGCCGTCAGGCTTACAGGAAACGTAGACCAGCCTGCGGATGGCAGCTTGGTTGCGCAGCGCTCTGACCACTTTGGGGTGGAGGCCGCTCCGGGATGGGTTGACCACGGCCGTGAGGCCTTCACCTGCAGAACCGAGCTGGGACATCAGCCCGGGAAGCACCACCTCCGCCTTGCCGGGGATAAACTCACAGTTGTGTATGTGGTTAAGAGCCGCGTTGTGAATGGCGTCTTTCACCGCCTGTTCGATGAGCTCGATGCCGATCACTCTGTCCACTCTGCGAGACAGAATGATGCCGATGGCACCGGTGCCACAGCACACATCCAGAAGAGTGTTTCCACTCTGTGACCGTCCTTCTTCTTGCTTGGTGTTCGGGAGACAGAGGTCCCTCACTGTGTTATACAGCACCTCAGCTGCTGTCAGGTTCACCTGGAAAAACGCGTCAGCAGAGATGCGGAACTTGAAGCCCAGCAGCTGTGAATCACAAACAAATATGTGTTCTTTTAAATTTCTGCTTTTTGGGGTAAAAACACACGAGTCACAGCTTTACAAAAAAATAAAATAAAAACTAACAAGCAAGTACTTGTCAGATATTTTACTATGCATAACAAAATCATAAAAACAGGCTTAAAATGATTCATAAAGAAACAAAATCCACAGAATTTATTTTCAGACCAATGGTTAATGCTTAAATTCAAAATCTGAAATCAAAATTTATGATTTTTATGGAAAGAACTGAAGTGACTGAAAACAAGTCAACAATAATGCTGTCCATAGAAGAGCTATTTGAGATGAAGTATGATCATTTTGATGTTTAGTTTGTGTTTACTCTCAGATATGTTGCATGTCCATTGTAAAACATATCTAAACTGAAACATACTTGGAAAAAACAGTATGTTACCCATATTTTGAAATATGTGAATTTGTCTCTCTTCAAATTCACTTGTATACTTATAGCAAAATGTTTCCTCCTCAATTTCCCCACCGTTTGTTTACCTACAGAGTATGTAAACTCACGCCTCCATTAAGGTTTTCAGCTGACTGCTTTGCTTACACTGAGTGTGTTCCTGGATTTCAGAATTGCTTATTAATATATGTGACATCACATTGAAACGAGAATTAGGTCTAAAAGTTGTATGTGGAAAAATAGGCAGATATTGGGTTTTGATTTAAACGTGTGCAAAAAAAATTGCATTTTGTCAGCATACAGTATAATAAATTAATGCCTTATCAATGTATCATTTGAATGAACTGTCTAAAATATAATCCTTAAAAAAATTAAGCAATATATTTTTAGCAGTAGCAACAAAAAACCTGATTTGGAGGAAAAACGCCTTCAAATGTAGAATTTGTCCCTGTGAGCTAGCAAAGTTTTTGTTTCTTTCCAACTGGGAAATCTTAATATACAACTAGACATGGGTTTTTACGATGTAAAAGCAAGTGTGCATTGCCAATGCACACTATTGTGATTCGTTTCCCATCCAAGTCATCTGAACTTTGCCATGCTTCACCTCCTGCATACTTTGTCCTAGAGCTGTCATTGTAATTTATATCTGTAAAGCCCCTGTGCCAAATGATGGCTATGCCTTTTGGTGCCTGTAAAACTTATAGTTTTTGAAATATTAATGTTTAATAAATTATAACGACAGTCAATGGAGCCTTGTATTGGTCCAATACTGCCCCCTGCTGCATCTACACAATATGGTACTGCACCATAGTTTCATAATATTTAAACTCAGTAGCTCAGTGATTACAATATTAATATGATTGTATTTTGATGTTTTACTGTAATACTGTCTTTATGTTGTCCTATTGCTGTAATATATTGCACTTAAGTGTCAATAATTGCATTGGCAAGATAAACTTTTTCTGTATACATACAATCCAATCCCTGGGATTGTCCTCTGCCACTTCTCCTATAGTCTCATGATGAGAACTGTGGGCTTTCATGCGGGAGATCAGGATTCAAATCCAGCTACTGCTACTTTAACAAAAATCTCTTCAAACTTCATATTGTCACACAATTACCTTAATTATAAAAACCTGCTGATGTGACAGGCACAAGCTGGTATAGAAAACATATTTGAACTTGGTCAAATTTCAATCTGAAAGTCCAATGCTCCTGCCTACATTGTCCTACACCTGCCATTGTAATTTCTATCTATAAAGGTCCTGTGCCAAATGATTGCTTTGCCTTTTGGTACCTGTACAACTTGTAGTTTTTGAAATATTAATGTTTCAACTTTATTCCAAATTCATATGTGAGTCAATGGGGCCTTGTAATGGTCCAATACTGCCCCCAGCTGTACTCAACTTGTTACTGCACCATAGTTTTTTCATATTTAATCTCAATTGTTCAGTGTTTACAATACTAATATGATTGTATTTTGATGTTTTACTATAATATTGTCTTAATATTGCTCTATTGTTGTAATATTATGTATTTGTCAATAATTGTATTGGTAATGTGGCCTCTTTCTGCACACATACAAACCAACCCCTGCCACCACCTTCTGCCACAACTCCATTGGTCTAATGGTCTATGTCATGGACTTTCATGTGGGACATCAGGGTTGAAAACCCAGCTAATGCAATTTTTTACAAAAAATCTCCTCCAACTTCATAATGTCACACAATTACCTTAATTACAAACACCTACTGATGTGACAGGCACAAGCCGGTTTAGAAAAAACATTTGAACTTGGTCAAAGTTCCTTCTGCTAGTCCACTGCTGCAGGCAAAGTCATGCTGCAATGACATGCTACATGGCAATGCACACTTGCTTTTACATCGTAAAAACCCATGTCTAGTTGAGGTTTCCTCTTTATATTGACATCAAAAAGTACTCAATAAATTTACATAAAATTATGATTCAGACCAAACAGTAATGTATTATTGTAACCATCAAGACAAATTAACATCTCTGGATAAGCTTATGATATCAGAACGATCCAGGTATCAATATGTAGCTTTTAAAGCAGGAATCTGAACATGTAACTTGGTCATTTTGACCAAATTTGACTTAATCCTCATTTCGATATGATGGGTCACATATTTGTGGAAAACCTCTGGAGTAAACTCTTAAACGGCACCACTTCGTACAGTTTGGGATGACCTATGTTGTGTTTTATTGTATATTTTAACTCTTAAAGCGCTCAGTGATCAGTGAAAGCACTTCCTGCTGGATAAGAGATCACGGCGTGTGTCATCACCTCCTCATACATGTACGGCTGACCGTACAGGAGCTGGTAGGGAGACTCCACGTGGGTGCAGCGGGTCATGGCGCTTTCCTGGAAATACAGCGAGTCCAGTTTGCAGAACGATCCGGGCCCCTGTGTGAAATAGTCCACCAGCTCAGCCTTGTGGACAGCCACCTCATCAGGGGTTAGTGGATGCGGGTTAAAGTACACGATCAACATGGTGTGGCCCTGAGCGTTGGTCCTCACAGTGATCTCTCTCCAGTGACCCCCGGTGTGGAACAGCAGGCAGGGGTCCAGTGGGGAGCTGCGGATGAAGTCCTGATAGCACCGGGCCACCTGTTTGTGCTTCTCCGGTATGTTGAACAGGTGGTCTGTGTTGACACAGACAATGTTTCCCTCCACGCCCCTCCCAACATAATTCCCAACTGTCTTTGGATTTCCATCCGCTCCTTTGTTCACAGAGAACGTAGATTTATTGCGGTAGCCATTCCTAACAGGAGACGGGAGAACAGGCAGGACAGGGATGCTGGGTTTACCTGCAGGTGATTCTGATGGTGACCGGAAGTCCTCTGAAAGATGCAGAGAAAGCTGAGCCATGATCATCTCCTGCTGCTTTAGTTTGACTTGAAGCTGCTGCTCGTATCTCAGCCTCCACAGAGGGGTGACCACATCAGACAGCCTTTCCTCCCAGGACACACAGCCTTCATCCCAGGCAGTCTTCTTCTTTCTCCGCCTCGTCCTCTCCCCGGTCTTTGACAGAGCTCCAGCTTGAGAGCTAAAAGCTAAGGGTCTCCTCGAGGAGCACAGAATGTTGTGTCCGGCAGCTATGACCGACCTGCAACGCGTCGCCAGCAAATTCATTCTGACTGTCGAAAGAGTTTAGTTTGAGGATTTACTAAGACAATTAATTTAAACATTAATATGTAAATATAATGCTCAACTTTCATGAGGACTTCAATTGTCCTTCCTAAAGAGCGTGGTGAGTCTGGTGACTGGTTGTTTCCCAGCACAGATGCATTACCGCCACCTAGTGGACTGGAGTACTGCACAACTAGAGGGATGTTCCACATAACTTTAAAGTGTTTAAATAATATAAAATAATTAATATAAAGCCCCATGCCACCCCTCTATTGTATATGTATTATATAAATATATATTTGATTGTAGTAATGCACTAATAATGGGGAGGAATCCAGAACCCTAAAAAAGTTTGATGCAGTCAGAAGATAACTCTCCTGTCTTGTCTGCATGACTTCATTAACTTTATGATTTTGAGTGCTGGAAGACTGTCAAAAGCTGTTCTTGCACTTGGCCATGTTCTTTCACCAGCAAAAAACTTTACTATAAGTTGTGTTGAGTAAATTAATAAATGGTTTGTTGCTCTACTCATATTTTCTACATTATATTGAATTAAAATGCTGCACAAGTTTAATTTTTGGACTATTGAAGCTTTAAGCAAATATAAACAACCTAATGTCAAATAATACAGCTTTTCCACTATTCCACTCTCTCATTTTTGTTCTGATTTATATTTAATTCAATTAAAAACCTTCTGGTTTAATTTATTTATTCATTCATTCATTTTAGAAAACTGTACTGAACCTTGTCTGTGTACATTGCTGTTTTTGATACTATAAAGCTGCTTTCAATGGCAATCTTCTATTCAGTTAGAAGGGAAATAAAGGAAAGCAGAGAATATTTCAAATCTGTCAGGTTGTGGAGCAGGACAGACCACACTTCAGGTTTGAACTGAAAACACTGCTGAAAAATTTTAGAAAAATTCATTTCTTTATACCGTGACCACTCAGTGAAAACTGCTCCGCTTTGTCTTGATACTAAAGTATAATTTTTTTCAGATGAAAAATAAACAGCTGAACTTAAAAAAAATCTATATTTTCTTTTATCTATAACTTGTGCTATTGTATACTTGTAAGTATAACAGAATACTTGACCAGAGCAAAGGTTTTGTATTCATGTGTTACAGTCTTGTTTATTTTTGGAAATGACAGCAAGTTTTATATATAAAAAGTTTTATAATTCTACTATTTAAAGATCACTGACTATAGAAAGAAAACCGACTATAAAAACACTACCATTATCCTTCTGTACTTTTCCCCCCCACATGGTTTTGTCTCTATTTTAATCCTGGCAGATTTCAAGAGAACATTACAAAATAAGATTTTAACAATAAAGTATTCAAACACAAAGAGCCAGTATTATCACACTGGTGAGAACAGAAGCTCTTTTGTGATGTGATGAGAACAGATCAATCTCAACTGTTTCATGTTGTTAGACAACAAATAAAAAGGTATACTAAAAAAACAAACATGTTCTTTAATCTTCATCTCATTTTGTCACCACCGTGCTGTTCTGTTGTCAGTCAGCAGCTTCGTATCTGAAATCCGACGCTCTTCCTTCCATCAGATTTCTTCACCAGGCTCTGGTGTAAAATATTTTAATCTCCTCTGCCAGAAGCGCCTGCCGTTACAGCGTGTCACAAATTGGCATCGGGCATTTCACTGTTGTTTGATCCCATAGAGATGCTCTGTTTCTCACTGAGCGTTTTAACGAAGGTCGCAGAAGGAGACTGAAGCACCTTCCGTGAAAGTCGCATTCTTCCATCTGTCGGATCCCGTCCAAAGTACTTGACCTGTGATCAGAACGCACAAGAAACACCAGCGTCCCAAATTAGAAACACGAGGGCACGACCGATAATATTAACAAAAATCACATACCTGGATCTGCTGTCCCACCTCTAAACCCAAAGCACTTGGATGCTTGATCTAAACGAAAAAAAATTGTGTATTTATTTATATA